CAGTATCCACTTTTGCTATTTTAAGGAAGATAAAAATATGGTTTGCCCCCTGGCGCATGGTTCAACAGGGTTGTGCTTATTCTCGTAACTTGGTCTGGGTGTTTTGAGCATAACGTGTATTAAACCAATCAGAGTCTCATCTCCCATTGCCTTTAAGAGTCAGTTGCGTTCCTCCATGGCACATTCGCTATATACATGGCGGACTTTGTAAATAGAAAAAACAGATTACTTGACTAGTGAGGAAACTGACCATCTGCTGTGCGAGGATAAAGAACAAACAGGCTCCATTTGGCCTCTTTACATTCTGTTTACTTTACTTTTACTCTTTACTCCTTTACTTTCGTGGATAAGGAATTGATGCTGTATGTTAGAGGTGTGAACCTACACTGGTCTCACGGTTCGGTTACGATTGTCATGCCATCGATTTGGTTCAATTCGATATCTCGGTGCATCACGGTGCATTGACGATGCTTTCCATACACAGTTTAATATTTATTTTAGAGTTTTTATTTATGCACAGCAGCAATTCTTGTATTGAAATGTATAAATATATTTATATACTATTTGTTTTACTATTTTGTCACTCAGAAATATAAACTACCTTTAAACAAGACAAGCATATACAGCAAATAAACAAATATAAATATCCTGCTCGCTTGCTGAGCAAGTTCTTTATTACACCCCTTTGCTTGGTCACGCGCTCGACAGAAAGCGATTGGCTCTTACGCGCTGGTGCTCTTCACAGATGAGTGACACTGATAAACGGCAGCGGAGATTACAGCTAATCAATGATAGACATGATGGAGAAAACTCTGCAGGCACATGCTCGTGTCTGTATCTAGAAGTATTGCTGTAACAGCTGAGAGAAGAGAAAAGTAACGCGAGCAGGTCAAGGAGAAAGAGAAATGGAGTTTACTCTCATTCTCTCCACCGCAGTTAAATAGGGGCTTCTGCTGTAAGTGTCAATGAAAGACTGTCCAGCAAACACACATTCAGTGAAATTGTGCACAGCTTCTGTGTTTTTAAGGAGTTGGAGCGTTGTAAATACTTGCTCTCGTCTTCCTTCGCCATAGTAAGCTTCGGTGACATAGCGAATATAAGACAAATGTCGTCAGTACATAATACCAATTAAATTTGACACCCCTATTGTACGCACTCCACTGAAGACATCCATTAGCCTTCATATTTGTTTTTGTTTGTTAAACGCAAAGATTTGTTTCAAAGCTTTTTCTAAATTCAGTTTTAATTTCCAGCAAACAAATAAATGAACAATAATAACGAATTGTGATCAAAAACTGAGTTATATTAAAACACACTTCCTGTTCATATGCCCCATATGGTAATGCATACATCTCTAAAACCCGACAGGTGGACAAATCTAAGATTAAACAAATATAAAAATGTATATAATAAATCATAATACTACTAAGAAAAATAACATATGCAATATGTTATGAATAAACTGAAAAAAGCACCGCTGAGGTAAAGAAGGCATGGAGGTAGTCATTTTTATATTTATTTAGAAAATGATATTTTTTGTAGTGTTTTTTAAAGATATTTACGCATTGCTGTACATCCTGTGTGTATTAAGCAACGTGTAAGCATTTGGGCCTGCAAAGGCTTATAACTAATATGCTCTGCGGTGGGCTTTAGACCAGCTTTTAATTGGTCAGTCTGTTTCAATTTCTCAAACTGAATGCTCCTTAACACACCTCCTTTTTAGACCAGCACACCCATGAGTTCACAAAGTGGCACAAATGGATTTGCTATTTAAACAACATGGAGCAAAATGTGAAAATTACGAGAGGGTGCTCGCTGCAGAGCCATTTGAGGAAAGCTGAGCTCCAGCGAGGGGGAGCATGAGCTGTCGCTCCTCCTCCTGTAAGCTGTTTTAATGCGTACACCAACCCCACCCCTAACCCTACCCCCAGTGACATCACTCGTAGAAGAAGTGCAAAAAAGGTGGAGCTCAAGCTTAAGCTCCCCCTCGCTGGAGCTCACCTCTCCTCAAATGGCTCTGCAGCGAGCACCACTTGAAAATTACATTTGCACTGATCTGAAAATAGCAACAAATCACGCCAAACATGTCTTGGCTGGGTGAATGACCGCATTTACACTGCACTTTTCAAGTGACTTGAATGGCACAGATCGGATATGGCCCATGTACGTGTGAGCAGGAACAAATCACATGGATTCTGATTTACCCAAATCAGATTCAGGCCTTGTTTATATGTGAAAATTTATCCGATATGAATCGGATCTGGGTTCTCGTGTCTGCAGTGCAAGCAGATAGATCAGATTTTCACCTGTTAATGCGAGTCACGCGTCATTAAAAACCATAACGAATGATGTCAAGTCTGACACTTTCATTTCAGAACAGACTTCAGCAGAGTCCCAAACCTTAAATCTCATAAACGAGGACTTAAACAGCTTTTATATTGTCATATAGCACAGGTATAAGCATGTTAACAAGAGTGAGAGAGCGCAATGTCCACAACATAACCAATATAAAATAATATAAAACTAGTGTATAGCTACACCACGTGCATAAATAACGCCATGGACATTACATTAAGATGCCTAAAGGTTTAAAAATAGCCCATATATCAAAAGAAGATGGACAAATGAAAAACTTTCTGTCATAAACTATAGTAAAACAGCTCGTCAAAAGCTGCGAACAGATTACATACAGGAATAGATAGACTCTTTAATTATCAGCTGTTAGTCAGCGCCTGCTTTTTTTTCCCTGGTCATTGCGCCTTTGCCGTGTGCTGTGTAAATGCAGACGATGGGTTTTGAGTCACTTTTTAAAGATGATGTAAGCAGGTAAGCAAAAAAAAATCAGATACAGTCACAAAATCAGAAATGATCCTCAAGATCTGCACTGTAAATGCAGCCTAATTGTCTGGATAATTGTTTTTTAACAAAAAAAAAATGCTTGTCTTTTATACTGTTCTCTAAGGTCAGTTTATGAGACTCTAGTGGTTTTCACTTTCAAAAACATCAAAACCATTTAGTAGTAAGATTTGCTTTGCCTGGTTTTAAGGCTGGCCCAAAAGAACCTTTGAATTTATGGATGGGCCACAGGGAAGGCTTGGAGGTAAATGCCCACTGCTACATTATGATTTGATCAGCCCGGTCTTATGAGGAAACTTAACTATTTTACATTTGTCAGTTTATTGTCTAATTCATACAAATTCGTAAGACTTCAGTTGTATAAAAATGTACGATGTTTGGCAAACAACCCTGCCCCTAAACCCAACTGTCATTGAGGGATGAGCAAATCACACAAAATTCTTTGAATGAGATCGTATGAGTTCATATGAATTAGCCACTAAATCAAAAAGTTACGAATTGCCATGAAATTGCGTTGGATTGGATAACTGTTCTACATGGTATACTTTCAACTCCCGCATCAGCTCAAATTGGTTATTGTTTTGAAAACAACCAGTGTGGAGAAATGGCAACTGAAGTGATTTATCCTCTTCTGCTTCTGAATTTCTGAATAAACTAACTACACATCAAGTACCATAAATAACAGGTCCAGAAAACCTGTTAATCAAAGGTTTTCTGTAAATGTCTGATTTTCTTTTTAGCCGTAACAGAAAAGTCTAAAGGCTGTTCATCAACTTGACAGATTGCAGTGTGGTTCTTCAAACAATTATTTAAAAGAAAAACATATTCTGTTCCTAGAAACTAAACTGAATGCATCTGGATTCACTGTGAACTTGACGAGCCTTTTTCAGGGGTTTGCTTTCACTGTCGAATTTTACCTTTATGAAAAGCGACATTCTACGACAGTCTCAAATTGAGACTCTATTTAAGCTTTCGGCATTTGATTTTTGAATGTTTTCAGGCTGTGATGTCAAGTTTTCAATGATGTTTTTGCATGAGTCTCTGTTGCTTACAGACTACCTCTTTAAGTAAAATACACCAAATGTTTGGTCATGCAAATAATAGATCACGTAATAATGTATTTTTTTTCTAATATTTGTGCACAATCACAATAACAAAACATATCTAAAATTAAGTAAGAGCTCCTATTTTCCTTCAATAGAAGCTTTCCTTCAATGGCAGCTTTAAATAGGAAAATGATCAAAACTTTGGTCATTTTTGACAAGATTCTAACGTTCTAATCCAATTTAATTAACTACAGTATTCTTAATTTCCTTAAACTTACCTAAAAAAAGCCTCGGACATAATGTGCACCAAATATACATTTGTTAGTTTCTCAGAGCCTCAAAAATGATTAGAAACTCTAGAATGATTAGAACCTCACATCAAGCAGCTGTTTTTATTTACAGAATAATGGGGCTAGTACAGCATATGCACAGTAGTTTTTAACCTTTGATGTAAAAAAAGGTGTTTGCCTTAATATTTTTTGCATGTTTATTATGCTTTAATGTTTCAGATCATCAAAATTTTTTAAATCTTAGTCAAAGATAACACATTGAAATTATTATTTTTGTCATTAAGAGAAAATACAATACAAAACATACATACTGTATGCCTGTGTGAAAAAAGTGTTTGCCCTCTTAACCTAATAACTTGTCGAGCCACCATTAGCAGCAACAACTGCTATCAAGCTTTTTTAGCAACTTCTAATGGATCAGTTAAAGTGCTGTGGATGAATTTGAGCACACTCATCTTTGCGCAGAATTGTTGTAATTCAGCCACATTTTAGAGTAAAAACTGCCTTTTAAGGTCATTCCACAGCATCTCAATTTTGTATCTGCAAGTAGTTCTTGCCTGTTGTAAAGCTAAATGCGGTTCAATGATTTCAAATTAAATATATTTATGAATAAAGTTAAATCTAAGAAATGATTTTGTGAGTTTGGTTATTAAGCATTTGTCTAGGTGAAATTGCTGGTAACCTACAAGTTTAGCAGCCAAACAGATTTTTAAGTTAAATAATTTAAAAATATATAATAAAATAAATATTTCCAAACCATTTTATAGTGTATGTGAAAATGAAAACAATTACTGTGTTTGTTCTGCAGGAGGAAGATATTCTAGACCTTCTGGAACAGTGTGAACTTGACGATGAAAAACTGATGGGAAAAACCTCCAAACAGAAAGGACCCAAGGTATATGCAAATGTATATATGTACAGTAAACACGCAGGTTCTTCCTAACTAACCTTTCTAATTAATTCCCTTTTAACTATTTTAAAACAGAAGTTATCCATGAGGATTTCCAAACCATGATCGAAACCAAGCAGCTTACAAACTTGATCTAAACCAATGTTCTAAGATTCAATACAATTTAAACAGTTCTGTTCAAAGCAAGCCAGAGCAGTTCTTCCTAAAAATGCCAAGAAGAGCAGGATCTCTCAGAGTCTACAACACTGTTGGAGATTATATTCGAAGTGTTAATTTAGACAGACCTTTGAGCCAAATTGGAGTCGAAAAGGTGAAATCATTGTATACAGGAGGCTAATAGACAGTGCGTCCCAAGCGTTGGACAGATATTCAATCCGTTGCTCGATACTTCTTGAAGGACGTAATAGATTAGTTCCCCTGACGTGCATTGTATGTTTTTCAGACTAAATGAACATGTTTCAGAAGTGACATAAATCAAGACTTGGTTCACCATGCGTGCTTCACTGCCGCTCTCCCATTCTGCCGTCAATGGCAGGCGTTAATTGGACTCGGGTGAAGCTGCAGAACTGACATTTTCTAGCATCTTCTTTCATCATTTCTCCCTGCGGATGTGTTTATGTGATTGTTTGTCTGTAGGTCCTGTCATCCATGCCTGAGAGCAGCCCAGTGCCCAGAGGGCACAGAGACCCTGAAGACTCCTCGGCCAGCTGCAGCGACAGCAGCTCTGCTTCTGACGCTGATGGAGAAGATGAGAGCAGCAGCATCATGCAGGAGAAACTCAATCGCCCTGAACGCTCCAGTAAGTTCCTCTCCTTGGGGCTGTGAAAGAAAGTGATCTGAGAACTCCTATTAGCCCTTTTCCAAAGATGCTGGTTGTCTTTCTCTGGATCTCTGGAAATGGTTCCGGTGCAATCTAAATGCTTCCATAAGTCCATAACATAAAGTTTCAAATTTGCACACAACAGTTTTTTCGTCCAACTGCAAAACTAAGTCACGAAATCAGTATGAATAAGAAAACTGTTTACACAGAAAACTAAGTAGAGATGTGCTCCTAAGTGCTAGTATCGTTCTGATTATGGGTGTATTTTTATGCAAACTTCATAATATATTTATAAATTATGTTTATATATTAGATGTTTTTGAAATGGGTATCTTATGCTCTCCAAGGCTGCATGTATTCGATTAAAAATACAATAGAAAATAATATTGTGAAATATTTAAAATATCTGCCCTGTGATGGATTGGCCGTTTGCCCAGTGTATCCTTGACTTTTGAGGTAAAAATGTCAGGACAGACTCCAGATCCTCCTGCAAAAATGTAGCTGTATGACTAATGGATGAAATGTATTTAAAACAACTGTCTTCTAAAGTTAGTTTAGTTAGTAAGCGAGTAATCAAGTAACTGTTTTTCTATAGTAAGTTGAAAGTAACTAATTAACAGTTTTTTATAAGTAAGTTGAAAGTAGATAACATTTTTAATAGTAACTGTTTTTCAATAGAATGTAATTGTTTTTCTAAAGTAGGTTAAATGTAAGTAACTTTTTTTAATAGTAGCTGTTTTCTATAGTAAGTTGAAACTAACTAACTGTATTCATAGTAAGTTGAAAGTAACTAACTTACAGACTAACTAGCTGTTTTTCTATAGTAAGTTGAAACTAACTAACTAACTAACTGTTTTTCTATAGTAAGTTGAAACTAACTAACTTACTGTATTCATAGTAAGTTGAAACTAACTAACTAATAACTAACTAACTAACTAACTAACTAACTAACTAACTATCTATCTGTTTTCTATTGTAGGTTAAATGTAAATAACTTATTTTAATAGTAGCTGTTTTTCTATAGTAAGTTGAAACTAACTAACTAACTAACTAACTAACTAACTAACTAACTAACTAACTAACTAACTAACTAACTGTATTCATAGTAAGTTGAAAGTAACTAACTTACAAACTAATTGTTTTTCTATAGTAAGTTGAAACTAACTAACTAACTAACTAACTAACTAACTAACTAACTAACTAACTAACTAACTAACTAACTAACTAACTAACCAACCAACCAACCAACCAACTAACTAACTAACTGTATATATAGTAAGTTGAAAGTAACTAACTTACAAACTGACTGTTTTTCTATAGTAAGTCCATCCCCATTTACACTTATACATTTTAGTTTTACAATCATGTTTTAGAAAGAAAATAATCCACGTCCACACAGGCATTTCGCCTAGCGTTTGTAACCGGTATGTTCCGGGCCGAATCAGCGTTTGAATTTCGGTGCCAATGGTGCTGTGACAAGGATGTAAGAAGCATCAAGGGGCGCATCAAAGGTACACATGGGTACGCCTTGTCACACCATCTCTAAACATTTAATTCCAAACAACATTGAGGAATACGGACAGTCAATGTCAGGTGTTCGGTCTTGTTGCTTAGGGAAAGGATGCACACAACGCATTCAGTACAGTGCATTTGGTGAGCGAGAGCGACTCTGTTCAGATCAGCATGCATGATCGCGTTCATCAAATTTGCTTAAACTAAGTGTTCTAAAGCGGATTTTACAAGCAAGGATTCTGACACAGCAACGTAAAGCAGATGCTTTACAAAAGTTGTGTGTAAGGGGAAAACATTTCAGAGTTACTGACACATTTGAGGGCTCATGAACTTAAAGCTAAAGTAATGCACTGTCTCTGAAAGCTCGCAACATCATCTGGCACTTTCAATAAGTATCTACATGGACACCAATGCTCCGATTTTAATATTAAGCCAATACTCTGACTAAGATGCTAGACTACCATGTAAACAGTGATTTTTGATTACCTTAAAGGACCACAGACACCTGCGTCGCAAAATGCAGAGGTTAGTTTTTTTTCATTCAACGTGCGGTATCAAATTCCTTTAAAAATAGCGTGGATAGCATTAATCGATCTATGTACTATAACATGTAAGACGAGATCATGAAAGGAACATTTAAAAAGCAACTCATGTAAACACCTTGATTATATTATTGTCTTATTCATATTGAGGTAAATCATTAGATTACTGATAACCATGTAAACAGTCACAAACCCCAACCCTAAAAAAAAAGAAGTTCAGTATTTTGATGACAGCCTTTCCACAGGTTAGTAGTAAGCTAATGTAATTTCATATTGCAAATTTTAAATTCATGCTAACCATCAAGTGATCAAATGAAATATATTAATCTAATTCAAATATATAAAATATGAATTGATGTTTACTTTAAACTGTAATTATATTGTTCTATTAAAATTATTTTTAAAATATTTTGTCAAATAAAAGATTTTTCTAGAGTCATCCACCATAATTTTGTGGCTCAAAAGTATCGGTTCAGGCACCGCTTTGGCACAGGTACCATTTTAAAACTATCGATTTAGCAGTGGTATCGAAATAACCCCAAACGATACCCAACCCTAATCCACACTGACATGGAGCAGCAGCATTTTAAAGCCAAAACGGCCTCTTTAGCGTTTTCAAAACGCTTCATTATCGAGGCTAGAAAACTCTGGGATGGTGAGGATAGAAGGCGTAACCTTAGCAAAAGTTATGCATTTTAAAACTAAAATGTTTGTGTAAACGTGGCCCAATAAGTAAGTAAGTGTTTTTTTTTGTTATTTATTATACTTCACAGTTGCATCAAACTTTATATAAAACTTTATTAGGTGGTCTAGTTTTATTTAGCGTCTTATACTCTTACTTTACCAAGTTGTTGTTCTGAAAACTTTACTTGACGCAGACATAATCTCCCAAATGGACCCTCTTACGTTATCTGTTCCTTCAGTTCAAGCAGGTTTTGAGGGTCTGTTCGGTGGAAAAGCTATTTATCACCCGTGGGCTGGGACTGTTTGTGTAGACCAAGTTCTGGGACATTCTGCTGCTGGACTGCTTTTATAGGTGCTGTCTGTCCCTCGATGATTTCCAGATGACTGCAAGAGCTGCTTATAGCTTAAACTTTTAAGCAGTCTTTTTGTCTAGCCAGACACATTAAATCTTCAATGCCATTTGTCGGGCATGAGCTAAATTACAGATGTAAATCTACTGTAATGCATTTGTTTACCTAATTAATACTTGAAACCGAGAAAATTCATCTTTTTTAATTAGGGTCAGGGTATTTGCTGGCCCAGTGCAGGGCTCTTAATTTGACTCGCTGACTGCGGCAGGTGATGTTGTGAGGGGTCCCTCGGCTCTCATGCACTGCAGCTTTAATGAGCTTTTCTGATGTTTCAGTCCGCTGGTTTAAAGGGGAGACTGGCTGCTCAGCTTGGGGGAAAGCACGGGTTAGGGAGAAGTTCAGAAAAGCACTTCTGGTGTACCATAAAAAACTGTGCAAATGTTTTGGTTTAAAAAGGAAAAAAAAAAAAAAAAAAAAAAAAAAAAAAAAAAAAATATATATATATATATATATATATATATATATATATATAGTAATAATAAATTGCATGTTGCATTAAGGCTGTGGGAGATACAGCAAAAAATAAATAATAAATTAAAATAAAATCTCATTCATTTTCGTGTCAAGTCATGATTGTAAAAGTGTCATGACAGTTAAAAACACCCCGTTTAAGTAAAATGCTGCCTTTTTGTATTTAAAAGAAGTATTGTCTGCTCACCAAATTTGTGTTTACTTGACAAAAACAGCATTATTGTGAAATTTATTTGCAGTATAAGACAAATTGTAAATTGTAAGCTAAAATATCGGTATCCCACAATCTATCAGAAAGCCTTTAAGTATTCAGATTAAAGAATGGCCTTTATCGGAAACAGAAGGTTTTTGTAATGCAATGCACTACAGATCAAAAGTGTGAGGCCAGTAGATACAATTCATAAAAGCTTATTGAATAAGATGAAACTGAAATTATTCAGTAAGGATATAAATATTAAATTGATCAGAAGTAGGTAATAATATTTACAACATGTTAAACTTGGATAAAAACCTCAGAAAATAGTTTACACTATTTGTAGACCAGGTAGTGTGCTGTTTTTTTGTAAAATGCCATAGATTAAGCAGATTATTAATGATCCGTGCCTGACAGTTGAAGCCATGCCTTTTCTATTAGTCACTGAAAGAGGGACAAAGCAGCAAGCTGACAGGTTTATTTGGTGTGCGAGTGATCACCGGTGATTGGGTTTCTGCCAATCGGGGCATTAGGCCGTTCTGCGGTGACATTGTTTGCCCCCTTTGCCCCACACTACCCTGAGGCCATCTGCAATATTCCAAGCTAAGCTTCTATAATACCACATTTGGCAGGTTCTTCCCTCAAGATTCATGGATGAAGCAGCGATGCCTCTGGCCAGCTCACAAGCTGGAGGTCATTCAAAATCACAGATTTTGCTCGATGTGTGTTTCGGTTCACTGTTCGCCTTGAGTTTGGAAACTTGACAGCCACTCGGGCCTGCAGTATGATCACATGGTGGAGTGATTCATTAAAGCTTTTGGTTATTGGATTTGAAATGCTAGATTTAATATCCACAGCGATCCAGGAGAGGGTGTGGGAATGAATGTGCCTTAAATTGAAGTCAAATGCTCTGTTTTATTTTGTCTTAGGTCGTGTTCATTGGAAACCTGCCCCTAAACCAGTGCGGGGTCCTTCCTCCTCACCCTATCTTTCTGGATTCATCCGCCGCTCTATGTCCTGTCCCCGCTCCATATCCTCTCTGACTGCGCAGTCACCTACCAACGAGACCAGGCAGCCAAAAACAGCCACTCAAATGGCCAACACGATGACTGCTGCAGCCACTCAAACTGCAGCCACCATGATGCAGATGACCCCAGTTCGACCCCACACAGCATCTCGTTCCCAGTCGCTCAGTCGCAACTGCTCTACAAATAGAGTTCCACACAGCAGCAGTCTAGGTGCCATTCACCCCAATTCGGCAAGTATTGAATCTGTCACACTGGAGCTATTTGAAAATGTGCGTTGATTACCTTGAGCCACCATCACACACTTCTCCTTAGAGCTCGACAGAACTGAACTGAGTTCCCATGTATGTTTGCTTACATCTCGAGGTAAAACAACCACAGAAGAAGTCATCTGAAAAGGGACATGACGTTTATATACAATGCATGTCAAACATTAAGTGACCATTACAATATCACAATAATTACCCTGAAAAAAGCAGCACAATAACTACCAGACTGCTGTTGTGTTTGCGAGAAGGGAAAACGTTAAACTCATGCGGGCATTTCTTCTTTCTTTCTGCCAACACAACACACATTTCTGGGGTTCGTTCTTTGTACCTGTATTACTCAGTTAGCTGGATTTGGATATTGACGATTTGACACGATCCAGGATCGTTTCGTTCTTCAAAGTTGATCCGACAGTTGTTTTCATAGCAACGGTTCTGCTGGGTTGAACCTGACCGGGAGCAGGTTCAATTCATATAAACAGGATTAGATCGGCTCAGTTCAAACAAAGATAATACAGAAAGTATGTTCCGAATTCTAATATTTTCTTACAGTTGTAGTTACACTTGGGAAAATGGTAAATATTTTTTAACTATATATATATATATATATATATATATATATATATATATATATATATATATATATATATATATATATATATATTTGCGATACAACTGTAAAATACGAGAGAATCCCAGGAAAAACGGGAGGGTTGACAGGTATGAACATAACACATTTCCCCCTCAAAATAGTTTGTAAAGCAATGGTTATGAAATGGGAAATAGTATATGTGAAAATCATTTCTTTTGGACAGCTACAGACACTACTGTGGACTGTGTATGCAGTATAAGAACATTATTCTAGTACTACATTCTGAACATAAATATCTACAGACACATCTATCTTTTCTTTACCAAAGACCATTTTAGACAACAGATGTTCACATAGATGGCAGATTTAGAGAAGCTCTGGCAACACACCACCTGTAAAAATGACAAACATCAGTTTTATTTCCCCATCACTGTCCTGAGTCATTCCAATCCATCAAACATTAGATTCAACATGTGTGCCCAAGCACACACACATTCGTACGTCTATTTTTGTGAGGACTTCTGTTGTTTCAGACTGACCGGACAGTATTTTCTGTCCACAATGTGGGAAAAACCGAACACACACGATCAGCCGCACTGTTTTCATACTCCGATGTTTTACTTTTTCATTCTTCACACTCTTACATCCATTCTGTTTCTCTCACTCTCTCTGGGCACACCTTGGAAAGGGAAAATCAGTCATATTGTGGAAAAATTTAAAATCAGTGTGAAGCTAAATTGGGCCTGGATTCACAGAGACATTCATCTTGTGAATACCAGCACTCCCACTTGTTCAAACTCTCATTAAGGAATATTAATCAGGAAAAAAAAACACCACACACACTTATGCTCTGTTTAATAAGACTTTAGATTGCGTTAAGCAAGACGGACTACTAAAGCTACATGCTCTTCTCAGAGTAATTGTATATCGGATGCATGATCATCAAGCTAATAAGCCTTCATTTTCTAATAATGGAAGCTGTTTAATTAGGATTTGTGCTCTTCCTCTAACTTCCTCTCTCTTTTAACACAAGGGTTTTGTGCTCGCTTCTGATCAACATCCGTAGACTATATTCAGTTAGAAGGTTTATGCTTAGTATATAACGAGTATTACATTTTGAACAAACCTACTTAGTTAATCCTAGCATTCTCATTTTAGAATAGTAGTAAAAAAACATACAGCACTGAATTGAAGAATTGCCAAAACTAGATACTAAGCATCAAGACCCTCGTTTTATAGACATTATTTCAGCCCAGCTTCATTAGGAAAATCCTTGGAAGATTTTAACGGTGCTGAAGGACTTCTTCAATCATCTTTTTTAAAATGGTTAATTTATTAGAGGGCAGAGTACAATGTATATTTTATATTCTATATAAAAATGGTCAACTTACAGAGCTATAATTACCTGATCTGTTTGCATCATCTATCTAAAGCTGATTTGACACACTCTACATTACATTGTGTATACATTGCTCAGCATAAATGAGTACAACTCTAACAGATCTCTCCTTTAAATTCATAGTTTAGGATGCTTTCCAGTAGCATATATGTACATATACACTAGATTAGTCAGTACCAAAGCTAATACTGGAACTAATCTAACAAAAAAGTAAAAATTTGTTTGACCAAATTAATATGTTGGAGTAACATATTAAATACAATTTTAATACACAGGAAAAGTCAAGAGGAACATAAGAAACACATTTAGTTGAAATATGGTAGGTTTTTTTGCAATAATTTAAATATTATAAATATAAGTAAAAATAAAATTATTATTATTTAATGTTTGATAAAAACTGTTTAATAAAATGTATTTGTTTAAATGCACCAACATATATTGTCATATATTACTCAATTATGTTGTGCATTGTACAGAATATACACTCACCGGCCACTTTATTGAGGTCCAACTGCTCATTAACGCAAATTTCTAATCAGCCAATCACATGGCTAATTAAACACTTGCTTTTAGACATGTAGACATGGTCAAGACGATGTGCTGCAATTCAAACCGAGCATCAGAATGAGGAAGAAAGGTGGTTTAGGTGACTTTGAATGTGGTATGGTTGTTGGTGCCAGACGAGCTGGTCTGAGTATTTTAGAAACTTCTGATCTACTGGGATTTTCATACAGAACCATCTTTAGGGTTTACAGAGAATGGTCTGAAAATGAGAAAATATCCAGTGAGCGGCAGTTCTGTGGGTGCAAATGCCTTGTTGATGCCAGAGGTCAGAGAAGAATGACCAGACTCGTTCGAGCTTATAGAAAGGCAACAGTAACTCAAATAACCACTCGTTACAACCGAGGTATGCAGAAGAGAATCTCTGAACACACAACACATCCAACCTTGAGGAGTTACAGCAGCCACACCGGGTTCCACTCCTGCCAGATATGAACAGGAAACTGAGGCTACTATTCTCACAGACTCGCCAAAATTGGACAACAGAAGATTGGAAAAATGCCTGGTCTGGTGAGTCCCGATTTTTGCTGCAACATTTTGATGGTAGGGTCAACAACATTAGAGCATGGATCCATCTTTCCTTGTATTAACTGTTGAGGCTGGTGTTGGTGGTGTAATGGTGTGTAGGATATTTTCTTGGCACACTGGCCCCATTGGTACCAATTGAGCATTGTGTCAACGCTACAGCCTACTTGAGTATTGTTGCTGACCATGTCCATTCCTTTTTGACCACAGTGTACCCATTTTCTGATGGCTACTACCAGCAGGATAGCGCAACGTCATAATGTGCGAATCATCTCGGACTGGTTGCTTGAACATGACAATGAGTTCACTGATCTCAAATGGCCTCCACAGTCACCAGATCTGAATCCAATAGATCACCTTTGGGATGTGTTGGAATGGGATTCGCATCATGGATGTGCAGCCGACAAATCTGCAGCAACTGCGTGATGCTATCATGTCAATATGGACCAACATCTTTGAGGAATATTTCCAGGTTCTTGTTGAATCTATGCCACGGAGGATTAAGGCAGTTCTGAAGACAAAAGGGGGTCCAACCTGTTACTTGTAAGGTGTACTTAATAAAGTGGCCAGTAAGTGTATTATTAAAAAAGTTAAATAATGTCTGGTGTAGAATCTGACTCACTGATTTAGTTCTATAGACTATATATATATATATATATATATATATATATATATATATATATATATATATATATATATATATATATATATTTTTTTTTTTTTTTTAAATCCTTTGTTCACTTTATAAATCCTTTTTTTCCCCAAATTAGTGATCATTGTTTTTTTCTCCTTTTTGCAACAAGCAGTGAATACAATGCTGCGATGGCCGAAACAAACCTGATGACTGCAGAGAAAAGGCATTGCACTCAATAATTCATCTTTATTATGTTGGTTCTTTTGCATGTGCAGGCGCAGGGGGAGACCCCACTGAGTAAAGAGCAGGAGGCCGAGCTGATGCAGCAGACACTGACCGCGCTCGGGGAGATGAGGATTCGTTACCCGGGGAAGAGCGAGGAGGAGGCCGAGGCCATGTTGGATGAGGTGAGACGCGCAGCTGAGAGAAAGCGCTCGGTCAGGGCAGGCCGACCGGCTGCTCTGTGTTCCCCTCATATCCCCAAACTCATTTGAGGACGTCCAAGCTATTCACAGCGTCTCTCGTTGCATGTAGAGTCATTAGCCGTCCACCTGTAAGCTTAATGAGATCCATTAGCTGTCTGCGCAGAAATACAGCTGGCCAGCAGCACCTGTTTAAGACACTTTCCAGCATTCATTTAAAGCATCACTTTCACGGTGATAGATCTGGCGTACATTTGCACATTAGCAATCGTGAAAACACAGCGTTTAGAAGCACAGTTGAACTGATATTGCTCTATTACCGGAGGTGTGAAATTGTAATTGCCGCCTTCCACGAATACAGAACACTTAGTAATTATTTTATTTTAATCCATTAGAGGCACACTATTATATGGGTAAGGAAAACTCTTATCTGCTATAAAATTAACCTAGCGTGGATAGTAGCTAGTTTTAAACACTATGGGTGCCTGAAAACGGCCCAACCCTTATGAAAGTAAAACAGCACACTCTTAGGAAAATGTTCTAAACAATGCTAAATTAGGGTGCGTCGACCTTAATCGATGGCAGAACCCTTATTTTAAAATAAAAAGAATCATTCTTTGAAAGTGCTATTTAGGACCTTAAAATATATTTTTAAATAATATTGTATTTTATGAGTAATATTATTAATAATAACATATTGACTTGAATATGTTTAATAATATTATTCTAAGAATATTTGTTTTATTATTTTGATTAAAGTTGCAGTAGGTAATTTCACAAACATTTTGTGTTGTACTGGTTGAAAGACTCTTCACATTCCAATAGTAAGGATTAAAGAGCCCCTATTATTGGTTTTTGAAAATGACCTTCTAAGTAAATGAAAAAATCTTGCTGAGGTTTAAATCTAAAAGTGCAGCATATTTAAAACTATTGATTCTTTAGCAAAATTTTTGACTTAGGCCCCGTTTACACTGCCAGTTAAATGTGACCCAATTCTGATATTTTGCTCATATGTGACACAGATCGGATCTGTAGTGATGGTGAAATGAAGCTTTCTGAACCACTGAAGCGCTCGACTCAATTGTATCGGAAAAAGGTTCGTTACTCGAAGCTTTCTAAATCAGAGCTCGATGAGGACCTCTTCTGGTGAAAGTGTGGGAAAGCACTGTGTTGCCATTATGTCAAATGTTCACAACTGAACAACTCATTCATGTAGTAATACAACAGCAATATAAACTCAATTACTGTAGTTTTTACACAAGATATATTACATTACACAACTGATGATTGTAGTAAAATCCAAGATATTCAAAAGTTTATCATAACACAATTAGTCCCGCTTCAAGCGGGGATCGAACCAGCGATTCCTGGTTGAAAGGCGAGTGCTCTAGGAGGATGCTATGTAAACGACGCTTTAGGGTCGCATTCACCAGATCGTCTCTGTTAAACACAATACTATGATATGCGGTGGTTTTCTTTAAAGATAGTCATAAAAAAATACGCTTATACACTTTAGTATTGTTTAAAACCTTTTTACTAAAAAATACTATTGTAGTTTAGTTTAATTACTGGTGTGTGGGACTGGTGCAGTGCTTTGAAACAAATGTATGTAATAGACGCCAATTCTCTCGCTATACACTTTACTATGAGGGTGTTTAAACCTTTGAATCAAAATTCGAAGCAGTCACGTGGGTAAAGGCAAAAATGAAGCTTCGGACGTCACTGATCACGTGATGATGGCAAAACGAATCAAGCTCCGGTACACTGCTTCACTGCGAGATTTATCGTTTTTTTGATACATGCTCCGAAGCCTCGGCGCACAACGTCACATCACTACGGATCTGTTCTATGACACAAAATAAACGCATGCATTCGTATATTCAGAGATCGGTTTCAGCCCTCCTTCATATTTGGAAATAAATCAGATATAGATCGGATATGTGACTATGCGACTGTCATAAACAGGCAGATCGGATTTTTTGAGGCATTGCGTTCTGTACATCATTAAACTTGCGATAATGTGGTGCTTCTCCGCGGTTTAATGACGTAGATAATAAGAATATTTTGTGTGGATGGTTGCAATGTTTAGACGTAAACAAAACAATATTATTTTTTAAATGGATTATACATATCATCATGGCACAGATGCTAGAACCCGCCTTTGTGCGTGCGCGACATGGTAAGTTGTATGGCAAGTGTAAACATGAATTGGATATGGGTCACAATTAAAACAACGTATAAACAGACAGGCAAGCAAATCAGATATAGGCAACAAATTGGAATTGGGCATCAAGACCTGACAGTGTAAACGGGGCCTTAGAGTCGAATAAACTTATCGAGTTGGGTTGGGATATTTTGTTTGATCAAATCGACGTCGATAAGGTGCATCACCAAATGTGTATTTCCAGTTCCGTTAAAATGTGCACATGCTTTCCCTCCACACACTAGCGGAGGCACGGGGATCACGGGACTGCTCATGACGCGAAGATGATGATCACTGACAGAGGAAGATTAGGCTGAGGGGAATAAAGGGTTAAAGATCATTTACACAACACCACAGTGTAGCCAAGCTAGTTCTGTGTTTGTTTCTGTCATCGTTTGGATGATTGATATATTAACTTGCGCTGCAACTCGGGATTCGCCGGCCGTTGGCTATTGAAGGAGCAGCAGAGACTATGGGACTTTGTCAGACTTTGACAGGGACTTTGTTAGTAATTTTTACAGTTCAAATGGACCAGTTTCTTCTTCCTCCGGCTCATAACATGTAAATGTAATTAAAATTGTTGCCTCGTTTTGTGTAGTTTGCAAAATATATGTTTAATTGTGTGTTGTAAGTTGTGATCACCCTGCGCGACTTATATTCAAATATATATGCACGTAAAAAAGAATTAAAGAATTAAAACAATGAAAAAATTATCACTTTCTACATAAATATAAAAACCACTAACTCCATGCCTTCTTCATCTCGGGGGGCATTTTCAGTTTATTCACGACAACTTGCTTTTGTATAATGTTATTATTAGTAGTAGTATTATTTATTATATGCATATTTATATTTGTTTTTATTAAAAACAAGCTTTGATTTGTCCACCTGTCAGGCAAAGACCATAGCATGTGTGTTTGGATATAACTCAGTTGTTTGACCACGCTTCTTTATTATTGTTCATTTATTCGTTTTCTGGAAATTAGAACTGAATTTAGAAGAAGTTTTGAAACGTGTTTGTGCCTAACAAACAAAATTATTTATGTAGGCTAATGGATGTCTTTGCGTACAACACATTTCCTAATCCACGAAAGAGAGAAAGTGAAAGGCCGATGGAGGAGGCTCATTCTTAATCCTCTCACTGCGGATGGTTTGTTTAACGGTTTCCTCGCTAGTGAATCGTTCAGTTTTTCCACTTACAAACTCCATGTCAATAGCAAACACAACTGACTCTTAAAGGGAATGGGACATGAGACTCTGATTGGTTTTTCTCAAAACACACCCAGAACTCAATAAGAGAATAAGCTCAATCCTGTTAGACCATGTGCCGTGGCACAGAGTGTATTTTTCCATGCTTAAAATAGTAAAAGTGTATTGGGACATGCCCTTAATTCTTTTGCGCCATGCACTTTAGACTTTGCGCCTAGATCGCTAAAATAGAGCCCAAAGTCTTTATATTGTATGTTAGACCTGCTCATTCTGAACCATTATAGTCGTTCAAACTTATTAAATATTTGCCATCATTAAAAAAAAAAAATACTTTTGTGAACTCTTCCAAGGCCAATTTGTCTAATTTTTAAACCAAAATTGGCACAGGCCATCTCTAGGCCACTCTTTTGCTCCTAACAAAGATTATTGAAAGCTTTCATTCACAAATAATGCATAAACAAGTTTGATGAAGATCATGCCATAGTGGACTTGGGGCAACGCTACGTTGTTTTTAGACCAAAATCTGTATTTATTATGAAAACAAAATATTATGGTTGGTTGATTCAGGCTTTATGAGTTATTAATGATTTAGCCATGAAGATAAATGATAAATATGCCCATATTTATGCCATCATCTCACACTCAAGACATGGACGTCGTCCACCTTCTCATTTTAGTGGCATATTTAAGAATGCATTCATTTGATCCGGCTTTCAGTGGTGTGTGCTGTGCCACCGGGACTCCATGAGGAGAGTGTCTATATTTTATTGATACTGCAAATGATGTAAATATATTCAAAAATTCAGATCAATGTTCCAACATGTTAAAAATTAATATGTGTGGAGAGAACCCATGTGAATGTACTGTTCTCATTCAAGGTCCTTGTGTTAGGAACATAAAATAAAGAAATGCCTGCAGTAAAACAGACAGACACTGTTTTTTTTCCACACAAACAAAACAATCTGATTCTGAAACTAATTTCATTTGGTTCTGTAGATTCTGAACAACTGGAAATACCATAAGCCAAAAGTTGCGTCTTACTGGCTGGTGAAGTTAGATGCTACCAAGCAGAGAAAGGTGAGTAGACTTACAATCTATAAAGTAGTTATCCAAGGTGGAAAAACACTTATTTCATGATAAGTTAGAATGTTAACTTAAGTCTCAGGTGACCAAACTGTATGGTGGGTAAAAAAAAACATGGAGGTCTTAAAAAAATGCCATTTGGATCTGCCTTAACAGAATACATGATGCAATAAAATGAAACAGTTCAAAGTCACTCAATTTCAGCACTATTACAGTAGTGAACGACAGGTGGTTCCAGCGGGTTCCAGGTGTTTTGATTCCACACAGTAGGGCGGACGTTGTAGGGTTGGTGTGAAAGACTGATATAATGAGGGATTGTCTTGTTCACATGCTGATTATCAGCTGAGGTTTGAGGGATCAGTCAGAATAGAGTTAACATGTCTCATACAGAGCCATTAAATCAGACATATTGTTGAAAGTCACTTCACAGATGTTGGCAAGAAGAATAGAGGGAGAATGTGGAACAGGGAAACTCTATAAGATTTACTTTTCTTATGGATATTTACAATGCACTTGATTCATTTTAGTTCATACATGCATTTCAAATCTATCGATTCTTTTAAATATTGTGTGTGTGTATATATATATATATATATATATATATATATATATATATATATATATATATATATATATATATATATATATATATATACATATATATATATATATATATATATATATATATACACACACATACACACACACACACACAGTTGAAATCAGAATTATTAACCTGCCTGAATTATTAGCCCAACACATTTCTAAACATAACAGTTTTAACTCATTTCTAATAACTGAGTTATTTTATCTTTGCCATAATGACAGTAAATAATATTTGACTAGATATTTTTCAAGACACTTCTATACAGCTTAAAGTGACATTTAAAGGCTTAACAAGGTTAATTAGGTTAACTAGGCAGGTTAGGGTAATTAGGCAAGTTGTTGTATAATTATGGTTTGTTCTGAAGACAGTCAGGAAAAAAAATAGCTTAAAGGGGCTAATAATTTTGTCCTTAAAATGGTATTTAAAAAATTAAAAACTGCTTTTATTCTAGCCGAAATAAAATAAGTAAGGCTTTCTCCAAAAGAAAAAAAATATTATCAGACATACTGTGAAAATTTCCTTGCTCTTTTAAACATGGACAATACTTGAAAAAAAAAAATCAATATTGAACAAACTTAACTTAAATTAAGGAAACCTTTTCCACAAACTTGAACTGAAATTGTTATTTTACAAATTTGAATTTAGTTGTTTCACCCTATTTACTTTGTGTTATTTCAACTTTTAATTTTGTTATTTCAACCTATTTTAGGCAAATAGAAGCCACAAGCAAAGTTTGACAGAATTTCTGTTATTTGTTGCAGTTCAAACTGTAGTTGCTTTAATAATGCCAACAGATGACTGATAATGATCTCAGATCTGGCATTAGCACACAGTTGTGGCTCACTGAGTGATGTAAAAAAAAACTATTTCGCTGTTGATAAAGCTGCAAACACCTAAAGCATGAGTTTCTCTTCTGTAACGTGGTAACCTCTTAACCTTACTTCAAACTCTTCTAAATCTTTAAACCAAGTAAGAAATAAACTCTTACAACTTAAAACACCTAAGATTTCTTTTAAGGCTGAACATTATACATAGCATAGTTTAAGCATTGATATCGATTGTGTGTTTCCACAATAGTCACATCACAGGATTAGACTATTTAATGAAGATTAAAAGATAACAATCTTATTAAATATAATTTTTATATAAATCCATACAGCACTGTTTATTTCACTTTTATTTTAACTCTGACATATTAAAATATGCTTGTAATTTATACATTTTATTTATGCAAATGCACTGCATATAAAAAATACTTGATCTCAAAGACTTACTCTAAATTCATAAATAAATGCTATATAAATTCTGAAGGGAAATTATATTCATATTGCAGTATATATTGCAGCAAAACAAAATATTGCAATGTCTGATTTTTCCAATATCATGCAACCCTACCATTTCCGCCTTGTAATGCAAAACCCACACAAAGCATGGTGGGAACTACACCTTTTTTTAACCAGGTAGTTACACCAACACAAAACAATTAAATTAACTTTTACATATGTAAGTGGATTAAATGGAAATAAATAAAGTGTTCATTGTTTCAGCTTATTTTAAACAAGTGATTTAAACAAGCAGCAACAATCGTTTTTCTGAGTGTAGCCTACTTTTTTGAAGTGCTTAAAATCCCCATTTCTAGACATGAGTAGATTCTAGCTTTTTAAATTACAGTTTTTCCCCAACATACTCTTGTATTTTTAGTTATTTTTATCTATCTGATCCTTTTATGTAGGTTTTGGATATTGTCCGTACCAACATCCGCTCAGTTCTGCAGAGGATTTGGAGTGAACCAGATGTGGAGAGTCTACGTCTGTATCGCCTCTTCAATCGTGTGTTTAACCGTCTGCTCTGGAGCCATGGTCAGGGGCTCTGGAACTGCCTCTCCACCTCTGGGTAAGAGATTGAAATGATGATATCCTGAAGTCAATGTAAAACTGCCATTGCAATTACCTACAGCCAATGAGAGAGCAGCATCCACTAGTATGGGTATCTGCCAGCCAGCAGGAGGTTGGGAGAGAAGTGTAAAGGGCTTCTTTTAGGTCTACTTAGACCCAAGAAATGAATGAAAAGCAAGTGTAAATTTGGCAGGAGAACTTGTGTTTGTTTAACGTGTCATCTGAGGAATACCACAACCAGGGCGCAAAAGGAAAAGTTCAAGAGAAATTGCTAATTCCCTTCAAAGCCCAGATGAGCAAAATAAGTACAATTTCTACCCCACTTAAATAATAACAAAAAATATACTACATGACCTTGTGTTGTTGCCATGTCATTTTTCGCGCATTTGTGGCTGCAAGATGTAGTTTGCGGACCAAGATACAGTTGTCAGTGATTTTTCCTTTTGTAAAGACATTCAGTGTGAAACCCCCCCGTTGCGATTCATATTGCAGTGTGAACACAACAGCGAAGGAACGTTACCCCAGTTAGTCATGCAGTGTGAAAACATCTGTGACGCGACTACTTTGAAAATTGTGGCTCATATTATAAACCTGGCACAATAAGGTGCAAGACGTGTGAGGCGCGATTTGTTGCTATTTTCAGACCAGCGCAACAGTTATTTTCATGTTTTGCACCACGTTGTGTAATAGCAAATCCATTTGCGCCACTTTGTGTACTCATGGATGTACATATTTAAATATAACTAAAGTACACTGTTATAATTGTTCATTTATTAGTTTGCTGCAAATTGGAGCTGAATTAAACATACATTTGAAACAAATCTTTGCACTTAACAAGCAAAATTAACTATGTAAGCTAATTGGTGTCTTCTGTGGAGTTCGTACAACATCGTTTCCTTATCCACAAAGTAAAGGAGTAAAGAGGAAAAGTAAAAAGATAGAGAAAGTAAAAAGGCTGAATGGATTCTTTATCCTCGCGCAGATGGTTTAACTGTTTTCTTGCTAGTGAAGTCTTCAGAGTTTCTATTTACAAAGTCCATCATTTAAATAGCAAATGCACCATGGCCTGACACAACTGACTCTTAGGGCTTTTTCCAACTATGCTATCCGAACTGTGCCCAGGCCCGTTTCCCAGATCGTTAGAGAAGTGTGAGAAGAGTGCGCTGAACTGGGCTCAAGCATGGTTCACTTGGCCGGCCCTGGCCCAGTTGGAAGAGGTGTGTCTGAGCACAGTTCATTTGGGCTTTGTTTGTGAGTGCAAAACGCGCCTAAGCCCGAAACTGAAAGCAAGATGTGACTTTAAGGGACTGTTTCATATGGATTTATTAATCATTCTTACCGTTTATTGAACGCAAACTGTCGTATGTTATTAAAGACGCAAACTCCTCACAGCACCACAGCTGCGCTTTTAGCAAACCTCCTAATTCCTGCAGCACGAGGACTTTATGACTGTTTATGAGCGTCAAACGTGGCTAATCTGTTCGGCGAATTATTTGACAGTGTGCCATCGCATTCCAAACGACTAAAACGATATAACTAGATAATCTCCACTTTGCTGAGCGAGAGCACTTACTGTACAGCGCATCATCGATGACATAATCGTGCCCAGGCCTGATTGTAATGTGAGTGCGGGCCAGCGGGGGAGACGGAAGGGGGGGACAAGCGTGCTTTGGCCCGGTTCAAAGCAACTGTACATAGTGTGAGTACGCCCTTAAAGGAAATGGGAGATAAAACTCTGATTGGTCCTGTTAGACCATGTGCTGGGGCACAAACAGTTTTTTTCCATCCTTAAAAGTGTATTCAGACACAGCTTAATGCTTTTGCTCCATGCACTTTAGACTTTGCACTTAGATCATTAAAATAGAGCCCTATGCAGTCTGAACTCGGCATAATTTGTGTCTTTTCTGGTTTTGAATGTCTTCTAATTGATTACTTGCAACTGTTATGTTATGGAAGTAAAATACAGTAGGTTAGTGCATTTAATGTTAAAGGGTATTTAGATATAACATGTCTCTGGTCATGAGAGGAAAAATAATGGCTTCTGTTTTTTTTTTCTTTATTGACTCAATCGTGAGTCTAGATATAGACTTTTCCTTCCTTAGAGAGTCACACATAGAAGCATACATGCTTTCTGTTATAATACACATAGACTCTTACATGCTGTGATTTTATCAACTCTGAGAGCAAACAGCAGGGACTCCTTCTTATTGACCGCCTTTCTCCCGCTAGTCATTGTGAGCACTTCTCTGAGGCTTTGTGTGGCCCAATCATTCTTGTAATTGCCACAGAGTGAAGGATGTTATATAGCAAGATTTAGACCATTTGGAGTTGATGAGAGCGAACACAGCTCTAGGGGATTAGAGGCAGTGCCAGCGACCCATGCTGCTTCTGTTTAATCAGGGACTGACGTGTGAAGGTGGCCCATGAGCCGTTAGCACGGGAAGGAGATATCAGTGGGAGAGCACTGTAAAGCCTTCCTGCCTGTAATGTACAATTCAGATCCCTACAAGTTACATTTCATCATCTCTACAATAAAACCTGGCAAGGCTTTAAAGCGACTTTTTTTAGAGCTTCTTTCTTCAGCGAAACTCAAATGAATGAGAAGCAAAGCCCTAAACCTTTATGTTGGATTGTTTTAGAAGTGTTTACTTTGTTAATATTTGGTCTTTATCTTGACTGTAAAAAAAGGTGCTCAGTGTCATTCACACAGCTACCAAACACCATCATGGTAACATACATGACACTGACAAAATGCAATACGCATTTTACAGTGCATCCGGAAAGTATTCATAGTGCTTCCCTTTTTCCACATTATTTTATGTTACTGCCTTATTCCAAAATGGATTAAATTAATTTATTTCCTCAAAATTCTACACACAATACCCCATAATGATAATGTAAAAAAAGTTTTTTTTTTTTTTTTTAATTGTTGCAAATTTATTTGTTGATTTGTTTGTTTGTTTTTTTATTTACCAACTTACTAACTCTCTTAACTAAACAGCAAACATCATAAACATCTTGCCAAAACCAATTTAAACAGATTTATTGATAACACGAAACTTTCATTTGGCACAAAAAACTTAAAATACTCCATCAATTTTCAAAATTCCATCATACTGGGACAAAAATGTACCTTATTATTTACATTAATTACCCACTGCTCATTTTATTATTGTGAAAAGTAGTGCACATTTATTTTTTTTCAGGTTTTGTTAATGCCGTCTGGTGGAAAATGATGATAAGTCTTTATTTGTCACAACACTGTTACATGCAGCGAATTTGGACCCCTTCAACCATACACAGACATAATAGACTTAATGTTTAATTTTTATTAACTATCAAGTGCATTTTTGTTTGTACAGTATATGGTGTCAGTTATACTTCTGAGAAAGTATATTGTAATCTGAAATATTAGTATTCAACAGGTCACACATACTGTAAAATCAGAATCAATGAATTTTGATTGTCTAAAAAGTACACGTATATTACTCTGACACATCACATTAATGCCACCCTCTCATAGGCTGAAGTAATAATTTGCAAATCTCTCAGCAGGTCGTCGTGGGAGTGCGTTTTCAATAAGACCAGTGAGGTGGTGAATGCGCAGGAGCTGAGGTGCTGCCAGCGTGTCGTACAGTTGTGTAGAGACTGTCTACTTATCGTCTACAAGTTCGTGGCCGACTCTCGCGGTTCACTCAGTGGACTTAGCCCAGACTGGGATGACACAAGGTATAGTAACCATTCAAGAACACTTACATCATAACTAACATAAGAACACTACAGAACTGCATTGAATACAACAATTGAAGAAATTAACTTAATCATTGCATAATTTATCTCATTTATAGCTGGAGGGAATTCATACCATCCACATCTATACATTTTGCAAGTTTTGAAAACTTATTCTGTTTGTGAATTCGGTAAAAATACTGCAATGATGTAATGAGATTATCAGAATTTTGAAAGGAATTTAGAAATTGTACCTTGAACTGTTTATGTCAACGTAGGCTCATTCTAGGAATGTAGCCTTATATACTTTTCCGGAGATCACAAATTATGTAGCCAGTGGAACGTATGGTTGCATTTCGTCTTTCTAAAGAAACGCTACAGGGCGGTATGACACTGGTCTTTTTTGCGCTTATCAGCTGACCGCTTACCTCCATATGGACAGCTTTTCCGTACGACAGCAGGCTTGTGACATGGAGTGGAATTGACAGTGACTAAAGGCAGTATGGGGGGTAACATGTTAAAAGTAACATGTGTTATGTGATAATATTACTTTTCCAAAGTAACAAGTAAAGTAACACATTACTTTTAAATACAAGTAATATTATTTTAGTTATTTTCATATATATATATATATATATATATATATATATATATATATATATATATATATATATATATATATATATATATATATATATATATATATATATATATATACCTCTGCCCACACTCGTCAGTAATAGCAAGTCGGCCAATCACAGAGCTTCCACTACGCGTCGTTGCAACTTGTAGTTACATTTTTTAAGAAGTTCGCGTCAGCCACAATAAGGGCTATGCTTCCACGCGTAGGTTGCGCCATATCATACGTGTGCACTTGACGCAAAAGTAGCAATCAACCCTAAGACATCAAAAATAAATTTAGTTCAGTCGAAAAACGGTCACTATAGCTATAAAGTGACGTGTGTCTGTTCAGTACAGCATGAGCTACAGATGAAGGCTGCACAGAGAGTGAGTCAAGTGTCATTAAGCGAGTGGTGCGAGCAGGCATAAACACTTGGATATGCACACAATAGAAGTTATCTCACGCTCTAGCGGTGAGTGTTGTGCGTGGCTTTCAGTGCAATGTAAACAAAAGATAGACGAATAGACGAATTATAACATTATTAAAATTATGTGTGTATGAACGCAGATGATAATAACAGTTCATTTAAATATATAGCTTAAATTAACATTAGACAAATACTATTATTTTATTCATTAAATATTTGTATTTATTTATTGTTTTGTCATTTATTTTCATTGTAAAATTATCACTCATGTTTAAATCAACAACCTTTTCATTTATTAAAGAGAGAAATTTTTGCTTTTTATTCAAATTTTGTGCTGTTTTCGGTTACTGAGCAGCAACAAACAACACTTTATAATATAAGCAGCTTTCTTGTGATTTTCTAAACTAGTAGTGTTTTGAATTTAATAAATGCATAATAATCATGACAACCGTAAAACCATGATTATTCTTCAGACTATAATCTAACATCCAAAATCTGTAATTGTTGCATCCCTAATTGCTACGCAGTTTAAAGGCCCGTGCACACAGAGACTTTTTTTGCTTGCGTTTTCCATCTACGTTTAATGCCTCGTGACTAAATAAAGAGCGCCAATGTGATCGTACACACCAATGCGCAAAACGTCAGGCGCAAAAGTGTCATTTAAAAAAAAAAACGCCTCATGCTAGTTTTTTTTGTTTTGACGCACCATGTCAAAACCTTCTCCACCAATCAAATAGGCACTTTTGTTCACGTGCAGGGAGCTGCTGAAGTTACAATAAACAGCACTTGGAGGTGCTCTAGTGCAAAACTTTCAATGACAGCGCACATTGAAGAAGATGCCGAGAGGCAATATGAATGTGCAGCTGCCGATTGCTCTTGTGAACAATAATCATTTCTTCATCGCTAGAGCTGGAGCTGCTGCTTGAACCATCTATGCTTGTTCAAGTCACCAGTAACTTTAACAACAAGCGCGTGAACATCCTCCTCCTCTTCTTCTGAGTTATAAGCAGGTGTCAGAAGCTTAAAGTTGTGTAGCGCCATCTAATGTCAAGGAGTGATTTTGCATACTCTTCTGCTTGACACCAGTGAAAATCGATTGGGTTTGAATGCGGAAAAACGTCTCGTAAAACTGTGTAGGAGCCTTAAAACATACCATATGAATGAGTCTGAATGTAGAAGAAGCCTTCTTAATCAATACACTGATTTTGTGCTTGGATATGCTTGTAAAAGAGCCACATTGTACAATGCAGTGATGTTATGTAGTTTCAAAATACAACATATTAACCTTTTAATGTAGGAAAAACAAACGTGGGTGTCTTAAGGAGCAGAATTACAGCATATGGACTTTTTTTTTGCTGTTGTGTCATCACTTATATTGCAAGTCCGATCTCTCTGGCCCCTCACTTGGGATTGCTTTCATGAACTGGCCCCCATGACAAACTAATTGAATAGCCCTGCTGTAGGTTATATAGGTGGCTGTTAAATGCAGAGCTTCTCTATAAAAAAAGGTGAAAAAAACCTGCAAGCTGTGAAAGAGATCAAACCTTAGCCAGGTAAGGAAAAGTAACGCAAAAGTAACTCAAGCATAACGTAACGCATTACTTTCCGTTAATCGGTGCTTTTGAAAACAGTAGATTGGGTTTAGAGAAGGAGGGGAGTGGGTCAGTCGATCAGTCAGTCAGTCAGTCAGTTTACAGCGTTCTCTGGTGGATTTGCGTAAGAACAGCAGGCGCGAATGGCACTTGTGAGAATAATTTGAGAGCTCAAAAAGCGCACACAGCCCCTCTGGTGGATTCGCAAAAACAAAAACTGCACAGAAACGTACCTGCTAAGATGCATTTGGCGCTCTTTAGAAATGTATATAGGGCTATGTTTTCAAAATGAGCCTGGTTTATGTGCTCAGGCGTGTTTAGTTTTGTAGCTACAGTAGCTTGAAAAACACTGAATGCGGCAGGTACAACTGTATACTACTGCAAATATAAGAAATATACAAGTTTGCTAATTTTGGGGGGCTTCTGCCTTTTTATTTATTTTTTTATGTGACTTCACAATAGGCAAAAAGGAGAACCCAAAACAAAAAAAAAGTTTTGGCCAAATTCATAAATCAGACTCTTTTTGAATGTAGCATTTCAGGTCAAACACTCATATTTAATTCATGAATAAAAAGTCAATAGTCTTTTCAGTGCAAACACACCCTTTCCAAGTAAATGTTGTCCTTTATACTGAAGATTACATTTGATTCACCAAATTCAGTCTTGCATTAATAATGTTGTGCTATACAGACAAGTTCTGACTGTTTATGGGAAAATGTTCCTCAATTCACTGAGGGTGAAACTTACATTCCATATATTCAACCTGATTACTATTCAGTGCACCAGCAGAAATACAATAATGCAATTATGCTTGACAATTTATTGAAACTCTGGTCTTTTATGTACAGTAGTTATCATCGCCATAATACTTGGGTTTACTTTAAATCTAATACAATCATTTGAAATATAATGATAGATATTTTAGCATCCTCATCATCAGACAATATGCTCTGTATATCATAAGGTTGCAGTGTTATGATGTCTTTAACTGCAAATCTATCTAGGACTTTTATTTTCTTTCTTCATCAAAAAACTACAATAAAAGAACTATGGTAATTGCTGTAGTTTTTTACTGTATTTGTTAAAATAGTTTTTGTTGTATAGATTATTACAGCTATTATGCTGTTTACGAATTTCGATACCCATCCCTAGGCAGGACATGTCAAATACTAGAGAAAATTTGATTGGTCAGAAGATTTGATGAGATACTGGTGATGGCAAAAGAAATGTTAATCCATTTAGGTGGAAGTGACACTGCAATCTTTAGATCTTGGTATCTTTATTGGTATCAGTACTACAATATAACCGAAGGATTGATAAGCTTTGACAATAATGGTTCTGCTATCGGTACTGGAGAATTATTGCTGAATTAACATTAGTTACAGTAGCATAATTTAACTGACCAACGTTTTCTAATTTACATCTTCTATATGCAAGTTTTGTCACTGTTTTTGTGCACACTAGATTGTATTAATATTAATTTAATTAAATTCACCTTTATTTGTATAGCGCTTTTTTAATGTAGATTGTGTCAAAGCAGCTTCACATAAGAGATCATAGTAAACTGGAACAGTGTAGTTCAGCATTTAGTGTTTAAGTTTAGTTCAGCTCAGTTCAGTATGGTTTAATAATCACTACTGAGAGCTTAAACACTAAAGAGCAAATCCATCGATGCGTAGCTCTACCGATCCCAAACCATGCAAGCTAGTGGTGACAAATGCGAGGGGAAAAAAAACTTTTGCCAATTGCCGAAAGTGAAGAAAAAAAAAACCTTGAGAGAAACCAGACTCAGTTGGGCACGACCATTTCAATTTCTCCGCTGGCTAAACGTCTTGTTCAGAGCTGCAGTCTCAGCGGCGGAGGCAGGAAGCAAGGCCTTGGCGAAGACTCTGTTAACATATGAATCATGCAAAATGATTAGTTATTTTTCTCCCCTGTAATGGATTACCCAAAACTGTGTCCTTATTTGACGAATGGTTCTCGTCTTGTGATCCTTTGGCTTTACCTTTTGGTTTTGGATCACACTCATTCCCTCATGTCTGATCTTTGGCCACCAACCTTTGCCCACCTGTTTATTGTAAAGTGTAGCCACAGAAAACCAGTCAGTTGTATTTGATTTGCTCTCCACTCTCCATACCGACACACATCTACTCTCTTCTCACATTTGTGTTCTCTCAGGACATGCCTCATTGACGACTCATTGCTGGAACGGCCCTTGGGGATCCGTTATTTTTCAATCAGCCGGCATCTGCTTTGGCTCGTTAGGAAAATGATGCTCGAGTATAAAGCCTCATGCTTTTTTCTTACTTGATCCAATCCTCTTTCTTCCTTGTTCACATTTATCACTTGACTGTCCTCA